ATGGATGAAGCACTCTTACTTCTCTTTATTCAAGATCTTCAGCCATTCACCATAGTAGACGATGTTGGTTTTAAAAAATTTATTTCTGCTACTAATCCTCCAGGTGCCAATGAAATGGCTTACAATAATTTAAAGGAGTTAAATAACATCAAAGCAGTTTGTTTAACTACCGATACATGGACTTCCAGAAATACAACTTGTTTTCTGAGTCTAACCACCCATTACATTACCAATGACTACGAATTACGAAACGTATTGCTTAGCTGTACACCTTTTAAACAAAGTCATACCAGTGCCAACCTTGCCTCCGAAATTAAAAGCTTAATAAATAAATGGGGATTATCGGATAAAATTTTAATGATCATTTCAGATAATAACCAACATAAAAAAATCTATTATAGATGACCTGCAATTAAATCACTTTGGATGTTACGCACATACATTAAATTTAATTGCAAAAAAAGGGATAAATAACATCGAATTGATAACAAGCAAACTACGCTTCATTATTGGTCATTTCAAAAGATAACGAAATCGAAATTTTTATCGGATAACGAAAAATTTTTTATTCAGCAACGACAACTATACTCTAATAAAAATCCAAGGAAACTGATCCAAGATGTGGTAACAAGATGGAATTCCACATTCTATATGCTAGAACGTTTTTGTGAATTGGAAGAAGCTATTCGAACCACCATATCATTAATTAAAAAAGAATTATCAGTAATTACTTCAGACGAATGGGATATCATCAAAGAATTGGTAACAATTTTAAAACCACTAGAAAATGTGACCAACATTATTTGTGGTGAAAAGTACGTAACAGCGTCTTTAGCAGTTGTACTAACGGACGGTTTGTTAGCAACTTACACTGACTTTAAAAATCAAGATTTTACTGACGTTATCATTAGCGTGGTTAAATCTATACTAAATGGCTTACATATTAAACTGAACAACTTAGAAGATAATAATTCATTGGCACTTGCCTTGTTACTAGATCCACGATTTAAATCTTTAGGGTTTAGTAACAGCGTATCTGTGGAAAAAGCTACAAATCTATTGCAATTATTGGTAGCTCAATCAATTGGCGATAGCAATGCCAATAAAAAAAATATCACAGACAAACCAATAAATGTTGATCCTCATTCAATATGGAAAACTTTTGAAAAGCGGCTCATAAAGCAACAGCCGGTAGCTAGTAATTCATCATAAGCAATAACTGAGGTGCAAAGATATATTGAGTTACCTACAATAGAAAGAACAGAAAATCCCTTAGTTTGGTGGAACAAGAATTTTCCTAATTTTCCGAATGTTGCTAACGTTCTTCAGCAAAAATGTATTACTGTGGCAACATCTGTTCCATCCGAACGAATATTTTCGAAATCGGGTTTTATATTGTCAGATAGACGAATTCATAGCTGATTTCGTAGCAAGTTAGAAAAAGTTATATATTCCCTACCCTTAATTATCATAATTTTAAAAAATTATACGCTATCCGAAAATTGAAAAAAAATGTATTAAGGGAGCCTTAAACAAATATCAATATAACGGCATTTAACCTGACTGTCTTTGTCGGAAACGTACAAGGTAAAATTTTAGTAACGTTCGGAATCGGGTATTTTTAAAATCGCGCCGGAATGGTACGTTCCATTAGAATAATGGTCCAAAATATCGTTCCTCAAATACCGTACCATCACTACAAATATGTAAGTATATTAGTAACGTTCTGTAACGGGTATTTTAAAATCGCGTGGAAGCGGTACGCTCCTCAAAAATACCGTTCCAAAATACCGTTCCTCAAATACCGTCCTATCACTAGAAGCAAACAATTGCGTATTTTTTTGTAAAGGAACGACAAAGGCTGAAGAATTAAAAAAATATTTAAAAGAAATCATAGTGAAATTAAATGCTTCAAATTTGACAGTTATAGCGACAGTGTGTGACCAGGCGTCCACAAATAGGACTGCAATAGAAGGTAAGAACTTAAAGAAATATTATGTATAATACCAGTTATATTTTTTATTGTTGTAGGTCTCATCGGAGAAGTCCGATTTAAATATTTAACACGTTAACTGCCGGGCCATATTTAGTGGTCAGGTCCATGGCGCCAAATGACTCTGTAATTTTTTTTCTTCACCAAATGTTACAAAATAGGCTTTAATAATGATGCAGATTCTAAAAAGTTTTTATTTATTGTATTTGGAGGTGTGCATAAAATATATGCACGTGGCGTACAGCTACATCTTGATGGTTCTACGCCGTGTGCATACATTGTATGCACAGGTAATTGCGCAGACGCGTGCGGTGTTGGTAATAATGGTAATAAACGGCGTGCACGTGGTGTTGAACTGCAGCGGTCCTCGTGGTATAGTGTGGTGTGGAATATGGAAGAAAAAAAAACAACAGCGATTGCAGACGCAAGCGACGAAGATCCCTACGCTACTGACGATGATGATCCAGACGCTGATAGTGAAACACATGAAGTTGAAACAAGCAGTAGTGTAACAAGTGACAGTGAAATTAGTGCCGGTCCATCTAAAAAAAGAAAGCAAAAACGCGCCCAAACAAGCCGTGACGATCGCGTAAATTTGGCTAAAAATGACGAAGAGAGTGACGAATTCGACTCCGAAACTTCATCTCTTGACGATGTTGCGACTCCAAGTGATAACTGGGGTCTCATAACAGGAAATTACAACAATTTCAATTTTTCAGAACGTGATGGTATTTGCCCTCAGGTCGCTGCGGACTATTTAGATAAAACTGAATTAGAATTTTATAAATTACTTATTACTAGTGAAATCTTGGACACAATGGTAGAGCAAACCAACATCTACGCTGAACAAACTATTATAGATGCCATTGTGCAGGAAAAAATAGGCAAAAGTTCACGTCTAAATGATTGGGTACCTACTAACAGAGAGGAAATGCAGGTATTTCTAGGCTTACTTATGTGGACGGGTATTGGAGTCGAAATATTTTATATAAAAGTGGTGTCTCCAAAGTAATTTCGAGAAATCGGTGAGTTACTTATTTTTATTGTTACTTTGGTTGTATCTGTGTGTTTTACTAGATAGTTATTTTATTTATGACTATTTATTATATTTATTGTATATGTTTTTTAGGTTTGAAATGCTTCTCCGAATGTGGCACTTTTCTAAAGCCTTGTTTTCGTAAGGACACAACATGTCGGCCGACATGTCGGCCGACTTGTCGGTTATAACGTAAACGAAATGCATTTCTTGTTGGGACAGTAAAATGACATGTCGGTGTCGGATACAAAAATCAACCGCACATGTCGGGTCACCGTTCATTTGTCCCTACGTAAACAGTCGTTAATTTGTGTTGTGATCATATATTATATTGGGAATCCATGTTGCAAGTCATTTCAATAAAATAAAAAGTTTACTTCACTCTTGCTTGTAGTATTTTATTTCAAAACTAGTTTCGAGAGTGTTCTCTCATCATCAGTTGAAAACTGTACATGAAATTACAAAGATT